ATCTGATCAATGATTTCTTGAAAATGACTGGAGTCAGCATGATTAAAAATTAACCAGTTACTAACCAGTTACGTTCGGTTTCGTTAGAAATGATGGTAATTCCTACGACCAGGACAAAACTTGGGTGACAGACGTGTGCAGGTTGCTCTGCCCAAGGTATGGAATGATCTTCCAACAAGATTGAAGCAAATTGTTCCAGAAAAAGATTTCAGAAGAGAGTGGAAAAGTTATTTGTTCAACAAAGCATTTAATCCCAGTACAATCCTCTGAGGAATGTAAATAACATAATAATAATTATAATAATAATAATAATAAACCATGATCTGAATAGATACTAGATGGATACACCAATTTATTTTCTAACAAAAAACCATCTGATGTAACAATAAAATCTAGGGTACCATTCTATGGACTAGATCAAAACCAGAAAAAACATCAGCAAGGGCTGTTGCATATATATCTGACAAAGTTTCTATGTGTATGTTGAAGTCACATGCAACTACAATACAGCAACATAAAAGTGTGATTTGTTCTTTAACTAAAATTAATTCTTCAAAAAATAATTTAGCAGGAGGAGCAGAACCTGGCTTATAAATCATCAGAAAAATTACTGAAGTCTTCTGTAGTGTCAATTTAAAACATATCGCTTCAAATGTAATTATCACTGGCAATGGAATTTTTATACAGTTAAACTTTTAAAGTGGTTTCTAAAATACATTACCAAACCACCATGCACAGGATCATTTATTTTATATAATATGGCAGGTTGTAAAATTAAATTAACAATTATTATAAATAAATTCTTTAAAATAATTATTACTAGTAAAATAAAAAATTACTATTAAAATAAGGATTTAAATTTTATTATCAGTGAAACATAATTATATATTTTACAAAATAAAATCAAAAGAATCAAAATTAAATTAATTAACTAATTATAATTTATAAAATAACTTTAAAATTTAAAAATTATAAATAAATAAATTATATATAATACAAAATATATAAAATAAATTTTTAAAAAATTTGAAAAAATCTAAAAAACAAAGCTAGAAATTATTTTCACAAGGCAAATCTTAGATTCTAAATTCGGATAGCTATTTGCTATTAATTATTAATTAATTAATCAATCAATCTATCTAATCACCATTTTAATGTTAAACTCCCTCGAAACAGCAGACGGAACAAACCCAGCTCGACTCAGATGACCAGCCCAAAATGTAATTAGTAATCAAGATTCACTTTTATTTGGATGTTTACCTTTAATGGATAGCCGTGTATATATTGAATCTTAAGAATAAACTTATTTTTATTCAGCCTTTTTCAATGATTCCTATAAACAATGTATTTAAAACACAACATAGCACATAGAAAAACTTTGAGAAAGTCAAAGTCAGATTCCAATCCCGCATCGTTGTTTACGGATCAATTTACATAATAAATTTATTGCTTCTACACCTCGTTCTTGGATATCGGCATTGTAAGTATATAAAAACAAACCAAATAAAAAACATCATGATAGATAGTGACACGTTGAATTCACTGTGGCAACATAATAAGTTTGAGCAAAACTGTATTGAAGAAAACAGGTATCATTACTTTTGAAGAAGGCAAATTTATCCACTCTGGAGGTGATTGACACAAACAAGAATAGGTGTACTTTTGAACAATAAAATGTCTAAATATTTAGAAGGTTTTTGGGTGGTGTCAGATAGAGTGTTGTTGGTCAAAATACAAGCAAAACCTATCAACCTAAATTTTATTCAAATTTATGCGCCAACGTCTGAAAGCAGTGAAGAAGACCTTAATGTTTTTTACAGCGATTTTTATGATGCTTTAAAAACATGTAAATCACAAGAAGTTGTTATTATGATGAGTGACCTGAATGCAAAATTGGGCTCAGAAAAAATACATGACGTTGCTGGTTTTCACAAATGATCAAATTATTACCAACACCTGGTTTGACAATCACCCAAGGAAAAAATATGCTTGGAAGAGTCGCGTAGACAAGGTAAGAAATATGATTGATTACATTACAATAAAAAGACGATTTCGAAATGCTGTTTTTAAATGCATAAGATACCCTGGAGGTGATTGTGGCAGTGATCATAACCCAGTTGTTTGTGAAATCAGGAGAAAGTTAAAAAAAATCAAAATTGAAGTAGCCCCAAAACGTTTGAATTTTGTCAGTCTGTCACAAAATGATGACATCATGGTCAAGTATAACGTTGAAGTAAGGAATCGTTTTCAGTTATTGACGGAAGAAGTAAATAAATCTAAATATGAAATATTTAAAGATGCCCTCACAGAATCAGCAAGGAAAGTGAAGGAGCAAAGAAGAGGTCAGAAATGGATAACAAATGACATCGTATCTCTGATGAATGAACAAAAAATTGTGAAAGGCTGCAATCCTGATTACAAAAAGATGGACAAAACAATAAAAAAATGTGCTCAGAGACAAAGAAGAAATGGTTAAATGACAAGTGCGAAATCAATGAAAAGATCAAAAACAGTAATACAAATGCAATGTATTAAAACATCAAAGAAATCATTGGAAAAAGGTTTTTATCGTGTCTGAATGCATAACAGCTAAATACGCTAAAATAATCTGAGAAAAAAGTACTTGAAAGATAGACTGATTACACTAACTATCTTTTCGATGATATCCGTGGTGAAATCCCTCCTATTAAAAAAGACATAGACAAACCAAAAATACTTAGATAGGAAGTTTGTGCCTATCTTGTAGATGTATGTTCAAACTTTTTGACAATGTGGTAGTCAACAAAGTCATCTAATATATGAATATAAATGCTCCGTCGCTGAATGTTCGCACCGCAACAATGCTTCATATATTGGAATGACAACTACCACATTGTCAAGACGTTTGACCATGCATCTACAAGATGGAGCAATTAAACAACATTATCAACAACAGCATAACACCACTTTAACACGACAAATGTTAAATAACACGCAAATAGTTTATTGCAATCACAACATCACAAACCTGAAAATAGCTGAATCAATTTTCATACAAAACAAAAATCCCTCCATGAACATTCAAGTACAGTCAAACAGCATTCTACCTTCAAATAGACTACTAAATAAAAACAACAATCATTATAATTATAACAACAGCAATAATAATAACAATGTTATCACCAACAACAGTGATGATGTAAACAACAATCATACCAATAGTGACAACCTTAACAACAACACCAACAACAACATCAACAACATCAACAATAACAACAACAATAGTGCCAACACTGTAGATATCAACGCCAAAACCCACAGCGCAAATATCACTTGCAATTAGAACATCATTACAAGAAGCAAGAAGAACCACAGCGATGATGATAATAATCGTAATAATAATAACGTTAACAATAATAATAATAATAATAACGTTTTTAAATATTGTAAAAATAATATTAATAATATGTAGTTAATTAAATAAATTACTTCGCGCTTCTTGGCTGAGCGTTGATATTTACCTTAACAACCATAATATAAACAATCTCGCCGTTAAAATTTTGAAAATCGCGTTTTATATTGTTTAATGTTATTAAATTTATTTTATTGGTTTTCTGTTTTAATTAAATAATTTATATAAATTAATAAGTACTTGTTCCTTCTTATCAAATATCTTACATACCTTATATATAATGCACTGAAGATGAATTAACACGTTGTCAAGAATTAAACGTGTTAAGGTTGTATTATGTGTTGTTTCTATATGAGATTAGATCGCACCCTCCCTTTTGTGCATGGTAAGTCGACGAGAAAGTCGAGTGGTGGTCATTCTTATATTA